TTTGAATTAACCCAGTGTTCCTAATAAGACTGATACCAGTTTATTGGCATACGCATAGTACAGTCTAAAACTATGAAAACTATGAGTACATAAATGGGAAATGAGGATAATTAAAAAGATGGGAGGAGCGTTGAGGAAGAAGCAACAGTTCGACCAAGCATTTTTTTCTCTTCTCTCTTTTGTATTCTCTTGGAATAAGTGTTGGCATAAAACAGCTCTGGCAGCTTTTTGAAGGACTGGCAAGCTTTTCTGCAGCCTAGGCTAATGGAGTATTATCTACAGAGCCAGATTCCCAGCTCCAATTGTGTGTGTGTGTTTGTGTGTCTGTGTGTGTGTCATGTGCGCTTTGGCACACAGTGTGTGGTCTGCCTGTGTGTGTCCTCAATGCAGATGTCCATGTAAATAATGTTTGACAAATGTTGCTTGGTCTAATGATGGCAAAGGTCACTTTATCTTCTCGATGTCATTGCCAGGTAAACTTCCAGGTTAGCGAGGTATTTTCATGCCAGACACCCTCAAATATGAACACGTATTAATAATTTTTTTGTTATTTATAACGACCTCTTCTAGGAGGAGCTTAAGTTCTGTTACAGTAAAGCAATGAGGAGACTTTAAAACCTTTCTTGCTGTAGGCCGGGTGATGAGATAAAGGCAGAGAAGTCTGGATCAAAATGCTATTGTACATTCCTCGCTGTCCAAAACTTAATACTGACCTAATTCAGCTGTTTGTAATTTTTGTCTGGGGCATATATTGAGTGTCTCCAAGCACCCTTAAGGGTCTCAGACCCCACCTTTGGAACCACACTTTGTGAGTGATTGTGTTTGGTGGCTGATTTTTCACCTCGTGTGTCAAATCTAAAAGTTGCCATTGTGTTTGTGGGGCTTAAGTAACCAAAAGAACATTTTATTTAAACCCCTAGCTAATTCTTGTCTAGACAAAGCTAGCTGCTAGTGACTCTGAAGGATTATCTGGACTCGTTCTGTGTCTGATGGTTGCAACCCCTAAAACCTTCCCCCTCCCCTGATCAACAGCAGCTGACCGATCAGCGAGGATAACATGCACTTTGCACATCTAACCTGTCACAATCACAATAACCTCTCCTGGTTGCTCAAGTAAATATGACTTATAAAAGTCTCAGTACACTTCCTCTCAAACAGACATTTGTTTGGACCTGTATTGTACAGTTCAGATGGTAAGAGTGGTGCATACACCATAAATGGGACTGAAATCATCCCAAAGCCCCTGCTGTTCTCTTGACCGCTTTAATATACTTAATAAATAATGATTGAGATCGGTACGTGAGCCACACTCGCTTAGCTGGCTGGCTGGCTGTGTGACCGAGCGGGCCAAGCTAATCAGCACTGTTCGGTCTTGTTAATCCATAAATGTAGTACGCAACACAATCTGCAGGGAGAAATTCAGGTGTGAGGGGGTAATGTAGCAGGTGCAACCAGCAGACTGGCAGCCGGTCAGTTCCTAATATCCCTACCCCGACTACTAGATTCTTGCATGCAGCGATACATTTTTATTTTTGTCAACCAACTTTTGTCTCTTGGCTTGGCTTCAACAATGAAATATACCAAATACCAACGATGCGTGCATGATTCAATAACAAGCCTGCTGCTCTGTGCAGGTCATTGACCGTTGCAAAATGCCACCCCTGATTTGTGAGCCGTCCTTATCTCTAATTAGGTTGTTTATACTTTCTAGGATACTCGTGTTTTTTAGCCTTTGTTCTACCAAAGCTAAACTGTGTTTCTTCAGCACTTTCTTGCTTGGTATTCATTAAGTGAACACATTTTCATATGTGGAACCACAGTCTTTGCTTCTGGACACTGAGCAACTAGGGGATCATATACATCATAGACAAAATCAGCATTTTTTAAGCACCTCTTAATATAGTCTTCTGAGACAGCTGAAGACCCAGCTGAAGATATAGCTTCTAATGGGTATGTTATGTTAAAAACCTTCTGCAGACAGGCCTGAACTACATATTTAAATTTATACATTTATGCATTCTGTGTCTCCTAGCAGCGGGAAAGGTTTCTGCGGCACAGTGACACTGGTCCCAGCCCTGCAGGTGACTGGCCCTCACCAGACACCACCACCTCACCCTCCAGTGCCAGGTCCACCAAGGACGGCAGCGGTGCCAGACCGAGAGCATGGAGCGTACGCACCTTCCAGGACTTCCTCCCTCCGCTGCCACAGCTGCATAAGAAGTGGTGCAGCTGGAACTCCACCAGTCCCTTCACCAAGCTGGTGGACAGCGTCAGTACTAAAACCTTTTGATGTTTTCACACCCAGGACTGTGGTCAGTGGTAGAGTGTGTCGAATGATGATTTAATTTGTTAACAGTAAATTATCTCGTCTCGATAAGGTTTACTTATTTGACTTAAAAGGTCAGTTCCCAAAAAGTAAAAAAAAAACTGACTTCCTACTTTATTAATGCAGATAGTTTTGATTTGACATAATCAATAAAGCAGGCGTTCTCTAAAGTAACCAAGACATCGGGTCTCCAAAGACACGTGATGATTTTTTCATACATTACCGAGTTGGATGCAGAAATCCCAGATATGGATTTCTCAAAACCTTTACACATACAAATAGGTTGGATTTTATTTGTCGATACCACCAGGAGTAAGTAAGAAAATGTTTTTTGGGTAATTTGGTAACAACATTTATTCTATCCTGTTATCTGTTCCATTGATTTAGGGAAAACTAGATTTTAGGGAGAAATGATTTCAATAGGAGGAACAAGTTCTGTTTCCGGATTCACCATCGACACAGCTATATATTTATTATCAAAACCTCCTCTTCTTTTATTCAACAGTAGTATTTTCTTGTTGTTTTGGGGATGCAGAATAGCATTTACACACATCACAATTACTTGTTATAGCATTAAAAGCACAGCTATAATTTGCAACATTAAAATGGCTGCAGGGTCCTGATAGTGTGAATGCTGGCTCACTGGCGGCCTTACTTGGACAGTTGAATGGAATGGAGCCATCTTTAGTGTAATTAATTACAGGAATTGCCTTTTCTCCAGTCTAAATGTCTGTAAAACTCTTGAGGGTCTACAAACAGTCTCCTGTCATTGCAGGCTCCATCCAGTTCGGTAGCTGACTGCAGAGGGGCTGACAGCAGGAAGGTCTTCTCTGATGTTCACCTGGAGGCCAAGGCAGACAACAGCACCATCTCTGACTCATCCATCAGCAATGCCTCCTACCCCCTTACGCAGCCCGCCCAGAGGCAACGGCGTCTCAACTCCACCAGCAACCTGCGCCGCTCGCGCTTCACAGGGCCTTGCTTTGGCCTTCTCTCTGGGACGGCAGACCCAATAAAGGCCTCCGGGGTTCCTCATACCCAGGGCTCACCTTCTGAACACAGCCCTGGGTCTTCTTCCTCTACCCAGTGTCAGAGTGAGAGGCGCGAGTTCCCAGGCGAGGGTGATCACATCAGCGTGCCGGTGTTTGCAATCTCTGAGGAGGAGGACCGGCAGCCTCTGGTCTCAGCTGAGCACCTGGACCAGACCTCTGCCTCCACTGTGCTGAATGGATTGGTTAAGGGGACACATGAGGGGAAAAGGCCTGTCGTTGGAAGCACCAGCCTCAGTCCCCAGAGCCAGAGGGCCAGACCAGAGTGGAGGCCATGGGGTAGCCAGGTGTCAGGAGGAGTTGGCCCACTCCCTTCCAACGCGCTTACCACCATGACCGAGGCAAACACAGTCAGTGACAGCCAGCCGTCTCTCAGTCAGTCCACAGTGCTGTGCAGTGTGATCAACCAGATGTGACCAGACGGGCTTTAAGTTGGAGAAAAGAGCAGGGACTCTGGTGGGCCAGTTATGCATTTCTGAACTCTGTTAGTGCCACTGAAATATATAACCTACTTCTTTAACATCTGAAATCAACTTAAAATTCAAAAATGATTACTACATATACTGTAGCCTTCTGCTTCTCACTAGTTGTTTTCTATTTTTATAAAGTTGTGTTACGACAAAGATGGAATAATATGCTGCTTACTAAGCCAAGGCACTGACTGCTGTGGTATTATTTGTTTAAAAAAAGATGACTGATTGCAAACATGAACAAAAAAGTATTTTCTGAGTGAGTATTCCATAACCCCCAACTCTTAGGAGCACTTTTTAACCAGATTTATTAACCAGTTTGACGCTATTTATAATACTCCAACCATTGCACTTTGCTTTCAGTAGCTCATTGTGGATTTTGTGCTGCCTTGTGCCAGATTCCTGCTTTTTCCTTAATGTGTTTTTTTTTTTAGCACAGGCTTATAAATGCTTATATAATTACTTATTACCCAAAAGTGTTCTGCAGAGCATAGATCGTACATTAATATAAATGTTGCAACAGTGTATGCATACAGTATGTACTCCTAAGGCTCATACTGGATTATAAAAGGGAAATCATAATAGTGAGTAAAAGCATAGAGCACTAATTTACACTTATGTAGTATAAAAAAGATAATTAGCAATCATAGTATTTAAAATGAGTTATGAATTAATGTAAATTTTTAATAAAGGTTATGTCATTCACATGTTGTGTCCTTGATCTGATTCAAGATGTTAAACGATCAATACAAACCTAAAAAAAAAATGGCATTTTGGAATCACAGGATCTTGAGTTTTTTAATCCAGCACTCATTCTTCAGGAAAGATGGCAATACAAATGCAAAGAAAGGAAAAAAAATAAGGCTTTACTCTATTTACAATAAGTGACACATGTATACTCCTGAGAAATCCAGAATCTATTATAAATATGCAACTTGTTTTATTTCACTGCCATGTCTTCTACTTCACTGCCAGCAACTTTCCACCATTAGCAGATGAATGTGAAAACAGCCGTCTAGTGTCAAACTCTGCACATACACTATTCTGCGCAGTGAAGCTCAAACACCCAAGTGAAGTACCATTAAGCTGAACACATTTTTAAGTGGACAGGGACTTGAAGGTATTGGGGAAAAAAAAAACAAGTCAGTTACTACAGAAAGCTAAATCAGTCTTTTAATTTGTTAAGATAAAACAGGCAAATCAGATCCATATGCATTTCAAAGACAACTTCAGCAATGCTAATACAACGTACAGGGTAACATACAGGGTAAAGAGGCATATATCAAACGTATTTGTCCTCACAAAACTATACATGTGCCTAGTGCTATTCTACTAGAAGCTGATTATAGTCCAGATAATCTGATCCGTCCAAATAGTGCATTGCACACAAAGTTTACAGGCACCAGCAAGGACTTCCATCCCTCATACAGTGGATGCTCTCCCAGCTTTGAACTGATGTGATTGATGCCTGTTCAGTCTCCCATGTTCCTGGGAGCTGTGATGAGGTAGAATGAAACCTGCCTCTTCCATACTACTGAGCAGCCTGGTCCAGACTTTTGCACACAAAGTGAGTAAATATTTGCCTTAGTATACAACATACCCCACCCCAGGGAGAATGCAAAGCATTCCTCCAAAGCCTCTTTAATACCAATTCCTGATTGGAGCGGCTTGGGACTGTTGTTGGCTTATGGTGCCAAGATCTCCAGTAGGGAATAATTAAAACTCAGCCACTCTGTTGGGGGATCGACTGGGTTTGTGCTGAGGGCCTGAGCCGCTAAGGAATGCCAGTGTGAACCCACCATGATAGAAGGGGTAAAAAATAAAAAATAAACATACACAGAAAAATAAACCTAAAGCACCTTGCTAACACCACAAATTAAGCCAGGAGCTCTGGCAGAGGTTAGGAAAGGGCTCATTAGAGAGTTAAATTCCAAAACAACACATACTGTATCCATATTCACTATGGGTAATGCTAATAACTAGATAACAAAAATGCATATACTCTTCTAACATTCAGCACAATCAAGGATAAAAGTTATATGTTTCTTCTCTTTGATGTATATGTCATTTTGGATTTAAACTCTTCACATGATTACAAATGAGATATGAGTATTGACATTACATACACTGGATAAAGACAGCTCCTCTAGGATGTTGGGTTCATATCATAACCTTGTAGACTTTCCATTTGAGAGAGAGAACAGTTATGTGCAAATATCCTCATAGTTGTACAAAATAAATGTAACTAACAAACATTTTTAGACATATTTAGTACGCATTCTTCTAAATCCACTCAAAAAAAATGAATAAAAATGGAACAATAAGCCCATGTGTGTGAAATTATACAAAATATACTGACTAGCAAGATAAGGCCCACTTTTAACATTTTCTACTCCCACATTCTTCACATGCCCACCAGCATTTTCTATACACGAATAATAGTGATCCTACAAAAAAAAAAAAGGGGAAAAAATCAAGACTATTACATGATCCTCCTATTTCAATATATAAGGCCTCTTGAAACTAATGTCTGGGTGTTCTTATTGGACTACGCTAGAAACGATGGCTGATTTGTCAATTTTGGTTTTTTAGTAGACATCAATACCAGCTGTGCATGTTTGCATGGTGGGGACTTACTGACACTTGGGTGATGATAGTCATAGGTGAGAGGTCATTAGATTCTTACATGTTGACACAGACATTTTCTAACCAACAAACATGGTTAAGCTAAAACAGCAGCTTTGTGTACCTGAGGAACCAGAGAAAATCTAACCACACACTGATCAACTAATGTCTCCAAAACATCTGAATAAACCTCTATCCAAATTCTTGCAAGGTAAGCTATAACATATACATAACTGGAACACAACAGATCATGCTGTTGTATTGGCACAATTCTCTAAACTGTTTGTTCTGCAAGTGCATCCTGCAGATGTCTGCACATGGAAACTACTCCATGGGCCAAAAGCAGCACCACTTTCAGCATATTCAACCGTTAGAGGTTGCCTGAAGTGCAGTCTATTTTTTCTTCTCTATATGGATTAAAGCTGTGCATTTTATCACAGCTTAGCTTTTACTACAAGACTCTGAGAAAGCGTCCCTTTCTACGCTACTTTTTAATCACCATGGAGATGATTATCCAGAGCAAAGCATACAACAGAGGCCCCCATGCCATCTGACAGTGTTACAACACATTGATCCCCTTTCCAAACTTGTACAAATATCACATGGGATTATGAATTTATCCTAGTATGTATGTGGGGCTTTAATGTGGCTTTTTGCTCTCGTCTGGGAACACAGTAAGTCCCTAGAGGTGAGACATTTTCACTTCATATTATAGTTCAAAGGTTGGATCATGGAAACAACTTGTTTCTTGGCCCAAATGGGTGCTACTAATAACTGTGATAGATGTTTTCATCAGCATTATCTTGTAGGAAGCCCTGGATTCTTCACTCAACTTTTCATAAGATTAGGTAAATTTCACCACAAGTAAAGAAGGTAAATATACATCAGGTGTTGTAAGCCTCAATTACCAAGGCTGGAGGAGGAAAATATATAAAAACATGCTCACCATGTGTAAGCGTATAAATGGCCTTAATCTATACAGATTGCCTCACTCGCTCTTAATCTGAGACAATTTACATTTTTGTCACCTAGGCTGGAGGACAAATCAGGAAGCATTTTTAACAAACAACAAATAAATTACTGTAACAGTTGGTGGTTGGTTACCTGGTAGACAGACATGAGCCACTGACAAAATGTATCTAAATTTAAATGGTGGCTAGCGTTAAAAGCCCTCGCAGGTCTTAACTCTAAAAAGCAGCTCAAACCTTAAGTAAACATTGAACTTTAATGTTATTGTGCATATCATTATTTCACACAGCCCGGTGTCAAGTAAGACACTGGTCACTATTGTAAATGGATATTGATTGTAATATCTGCATTAGGTTATTGCATAACATTTGGAAGGCAGTAAGCTGGAACAGACAACAAAACTTAATAAGATCATGTCTATGAGATGCTCGGTTATCTACATTTGACACAAGAAACAAACCACTCTGGTCCTTCAGCTCTTGAAACGTGTCTGCTCACATATGTGGTTGAATTTCCTGAAATTAAAGTAAAGAAAAGAAACCGTATAAATTAAGTGGTGCATGTAAAAACCACAGATATGGCATGAAGCATCTTACACAGGTCTTCAAACAGCAGACGTGAGGAACTATAGGACCAAATTTATACAAGGACTCCTTCTAGTGGTAAAACCAGTGAATAACATGCATAGCACATCTCTGTCATGTCTGTCCAAAGTACAGCCAGAGCTAACAGATTTAAAGGAAGACTTACGTCGCATGATGTGCCTTCACCTGCGTGCGACAGTTGCGTCCCCAGTAACAGTCGGGACGGGATGTTACAGCAGCTGAGGAAAAGAAGTGAAGTCATTGCATGAGTACGACATAAACATTTAGGATAAATGTAACCCCTTTTATGTGTAAAAAGCTGAAATGCTAATAAAGATGGCTCTATAAAAATAATTTGGGTCTGTCTGACCTGGCAGTTCAGTTGACGGGATGTTCTGTCTGTACTTGTAGGCGAGCTCCTTGAATGCTCGCAGGCCGCAGCAGAAGCACATGATGGCATTTGCAGAGATACGACAATCTGACAGAGACAGTTAAAAGGGACAGGATATATTCACTCTTTTTTAATAGGACAGTCTGGACATTGTATGTGCTACATTGTAGGGAACGAGGCAATGTGAGTGTCACAGTGGGTCTTCCAAATGTATCTGTATCAAAGTCCACCACTCAATAATAATAAAAGTGCCTTGGGTTTTGATCTGCAGGCTCACCTGTCAGGTAGTAGTTTCCCTGCTGTAAGTTCTGCAAAGACTCCTGGTGCAGATCTCTCCATGACTTCCCTCTAGAAGACAGGTAGTTCTGTTGGAAGGACGGAAACACACAAACAAAAACAACTTAACATTGCATATGCATAGGAGTTGGTGCAGATATGGAAGTGGCGTCCAATGTTTGCTAATAGGAGCTTTAGTTGATGCAGTTAACATGTTGTAATTCGGCAAGTTCATTTAGTTTAGAGTGGCACAAGCTGTTTGGTGGACACACAGATCCAAAGTGTCTTAGAGCGTGATGAAGGCAAACACGTTTGGAAGCAGGTGGCCCGGTCAGAACCAACCACAGAGGATACAGCATCATCTATGCCACTGATCTAAACAAGCAACGCATTCTAATATACAAATAAATAACGGACCAAGAAAAAAATATATGAATGTCATTGGAATATCTGACATATCCACTTTACCTGAAGGATCTCTGATTCATAGTTGTTGTTATTTAGCACACCATCCAGGCATTTGTCTGTCAGATTGAGCTCTGAAAAAAAAAAGAGAACAAAAGGGGATTTGAACTACAAAACATTTAGCAAACTCCAACAGATAAATATCTAAGAAAGCTAATTCACAGATGTTTTTTAGGGTTGCAGGTTATGATGCACATATGATGCACATTATATGTGGACATGTTGAGACATTAACTAGATTCTAGACTGCACCTGTTATAAAAAGGAAAACACCAACATTTATTCTGCTGTGAAATGTTGAATTTTCCAAAAAAAAAAAAAAAAATACAGGAATATGTTTCATCACTTTTCCAGTCTGCTAATGTATTATTTCAGATACTGCATTTGGACATTATTTAGGAATCAGCTCCTTTAATTAAAAGCATGTTGGCATGAGCCAAAAAATACCATACTGGTTGAACCCCGCTAGCCAGCAATAAGCCTAAGGGTGCAGATCCCCCTGGGGCTGTTTTGCTGAAACAGATACATACCACTGAATCGAGCCAGACAGCCTTGACAGCCAATCCTCTGGCAACCCCAGTACATATGACAGAAGGGTCGCTGGCACAGCATACCTGCCAACACACAGCACATCATGCATATGAGGTGCATAATGGAGTTTGTGCAACAATGCATGTGAATGATTGGTAAAGTTTAAGTATCAGGTGATTTTACATGTATTGCATACCTCTGTGTATGTGTATTAAATATGTCTTTATGCCTTACACAATTTAAATTCACACGCCCTGACTAATTTGTATAATGTATGAATTTTAATTTCCTATATCAAGTCCCTTTTTATTTCACTGTAGTTACCTGTAATTTGAATGACTGTTTAGTTTTATCAACCACATTACATTACATGTCTGCAGAGGTACTAACAAGCCCAGGGACCACTCACATTGTTGAGCAATAACCTGCTGGCTGTTCAGCTCGCCCCGTCTGTCTGGCATTGGCTGGAGGCAGCAGGTGCAGATGAGATGGCAGCCCTGAGGGGGGCAGCGGTACTCCTGAGGAGCTGCAGACAGAACGGGAGCAGAAAAAGGTCGGAGACAGGAGCTTAGACATGCAGATCTTAAATAGAAGGCAGACACACACACTGTAATGTTTTTGACATTAGGATTATAACAGAATGCTGTACCCTGCAAAATACCATCGAGTGAAAAGTGTAACTTTAGCTACTGATCTTCCAATCTAATCTACACTTATAATCACCTGATGGGACATCAGAGGACGTTGAGGGCTGCTCCCCTGTGGGTTTCTCAGATCCATCCTCAGTTGCTGGTTTGGGTGGAGGAGGTATTGGCGGTGGAGCTGGCAGACCAGGGAGCCAGTAGTTTGAACCTGTAGCAAACAGGACCTGACTGATGTCACACCTGTAGCCCGGACACTGTCTGCACATCACTAGAGGCTGACTGAAAACACAAGAGAAAATCATCAAGTGGAGAACTTGTTTACTAAAGAAGCTGAATTTTTCCATGTCATGATATTCTTATGCCACTGATGATTTTCATAGTTAGTGAATTTTTTTTTTTTTTTAACAGTACATGAATACACACTTTGTTTACATTTATCTTATTTAATAAGATATTTTACATCTAATTCTAGATCCATTTTTAAATAATTGCCTATGCAACACAATAAATATATTTTATACTCCACTTCCTACAGTGTTAATTCTTGTTTATGGCATTAAAAAAAGTCTTCATGTACTAAATTCAGCACAGTCTCCCTGAGAATTAGATGTGTCAACAAAATAGCTGGGACACACTCCAATAAAAGGCAGGTAGAACACTGACGTTTATTAAAAGTTAAGCTAATGTAACTTTATCAGGTACTGTGGATGTAACGTTAATGTTACTTGCAGTCTCATTCCTTCTTCTGATAGCAACATAGAACTAAGTAAGTTCCAGGATGAATATTAGCAGTCAACAGCCTAAAATATTCCTCTAGATGTTTGCTAAAGAAACATCCCTACATTATCTGATGTTTTAGCTTCTAAATGGTAAATGGACCTGTAC